AAGTCCATTAGCCCACTGTATATTGTTAGGTCATGCCAGGCTCAGGACTGTAATCCTAGCACTCGGGAGAGGTTGAGGCAGTGAGTTCCAGGCCAGCCTAGGCTAAGCAATGAGATTCCATCTCAAAAAGTCTAAATCAAAACCCAACCAAAATAAAACAGCCAGGAAACAGACAGAGGTCCCTTATATGTATGTGGGACTACATATATGTATATGAGATCACATATATGTAAAGGGGATTACGCTGAGGCCTCATCTCACAGGCTAACTTTCTCCCCATTCAAATCCACATTACTGTTAAATTTCTGGAGAAGATATAATACAATGACCACTTTCTCACATTTTTAAAATTTGTTTTTATACGCTTGTTATCTGTCACTCCTGATAGGATTAAGCCTCATGCCACCAGCTGCCTGTTTTAGATTCCCAGATCCTAGAATGGTGTCTAGCATGGGACAGGGATTCAATACACTGGCTAAGCTGGGTAAGGTGGCTCACACCTGTAGTGACAGCCCTTGTGGGGCTGAGGCATGAGGACCGCAATGATTTCAAGAACTACCTGGGCTGCGGTGTAGGACCCTGCCTAAAAAGAGAAGAAATGCAGGAATGCATGCTCACCAACGCTGCATCTTCATCCAGGGCTCTAGCACACTGCTGATCTTGACATAGGCATTGCCATGCTTTGGGACTGGAGCATACCCCTAAAGGTCCATGAAGGAAGGGCTTGCTTCCCCAGAGTGGTGCTTTGTGGGACTTAGTGGGGGTGGGGTCCAGGTCAATGCGGTGTGCCCTTGAAGGCCCTTGCTCTCCTCTCTTTTGCTGTTTCATTCAAGGCCATGGTGAACAGATTTGCTTGGTATATGCTCTGCCATGATTGCTACCACAGGCCAATCTGTCAGGGACTGAAAGCAGCGAACTGGGATCCAAAAGAAGCCGTCCTCCTTTTGAGCCGATTACCTAAGGCGATATTCCAAGGCTCCTCGGCAAAGCCATGTCCTGAAAGGAGCAGCCGCGGTCTGATGGTGCGGTCTGTATTGAACATGGCACTCCCTACCACCACGCATGTCTGACCCTCTTCACTTCTCCTGTTTCTCTCTTCTCCCACCCATGTGACTCTCCGATGCTGAACTCCCTGCGGGCAGCTGGACAGACCATGTGAGTTTACATGCCACGTCCTCCGTAGGCTACCCCTCTATCTAGAAGGCCCAAGTGCCCTGAAACCTGTCCTTTATCCCTGTCACCACCAAACATCAGTTTATTACTCTCTAGACTTCCACAAAGCCATTCCTGTTGAAATGTGCATGTGAACGCACGCATGCACGCGCACACACGCGCACACACACACACACACACACACACACACACACACACACACACACACGGCAAATGTCTTTTCAATCTTCCTTGATGTAGACAGTAAATACTATCATCTCCTTTCTTCCTAGCCTCTTGCTGAAACTCTGGCTCTAGTGAAGTCACAATGAACCCCTGATTGACCTATTTACCTCCTCACTCTATTAGAAGTTTCCAGGACTTGTGATCAGGAAGGTAAAATGCCTCCATTTCAAAATATATCTGCTCACTGTTAAAGAGGGTCCAGACATGTCCAGCTCTCAGCCTACTAAGGGCACCAGAGGCTGACTTACAAAAAGTCACACAACCTAATAACCACGTCAGTTGAGGTCTAGTAACTACATTAATTTCATTAACAGACAAAAAAAAAAAAAAATGCACCCGTTTCTAATGCTTACCGAGCAGAAAGCACGTTTCCCAGAGCTACAGCAACCATTACATTTTTAAAAAGTATCTACAATCATCTTTAAAAAAAAAAAAAAAAAGGCAACAACAACACTAGGGCAACGAATACTTACTGATTTGGGTCAGTCATTAGCTTGGAGTCTGGCTTACTCCTTACAGGCCTTTCCAAAGACCATACTACTAGCGGTATGGTCCAGAGTCTGTTGATACGGTTCACCGCACAGCCGCTAACACAGCCAGCCTGAGGTCCTAACCCGGTCACAGCACCAATCACAGAACACCCACACAAAGCACAGGGGAGGGGGAGAGACAGAAGCAGTCCTTCACAGAAACGCAGCGCCCCCGGCAAGGCCTGCTGTCCCCAGAGAAGCGAGCGCTCGCACGGTGACCAAGTCACACTTGGCGACGCAAAATGCTCATTGACACACTTGGCGTTATTTTTAACCTGTAGGCTGTTTCCAACATGTTAACTTTTTTTTTTTTTTTTTTTTAAAAGGAAGAAACAGACAAAACAAAACTAAATTATCAACCAACCAACCGGGTCTGACGGTTGGTTTTGTCTTAAAACAACCCGACAGGTTAGAAATGCTAAAAACCAATCAACTAATTAGCAGCACGTCAGCTGAAAACTCTTTGGGGGAGAGAAGCGAGGGACGCGGTGGATTGCTGAAGGGAGCCTAGATTGGCCATGCACCAGCCCCGTGTCTCCCCACCTCAGGCAGCTGGCTGCGAGCATTATCGAGACGGGCCTCCAAACTGGGCTCATCTCTCATCTGTAGCACATCTTCTGTGGTGTTGCTGCTGGCGGAATCCTGAGACTGAAGCAGGTCCTGGTGCTCGGGTGTCATGTCATCCGCCACACAGTCACTGTTGAGCTGGAAGGAGAGATGCATTCGTTAGCAGCCACAGCCACGAGAATCAACGCGCGTCACCAACGTGTTTTATGGGCTTAGGTATAGAGAACCTCCGGGATTTCCGAAAGTTGGCCTTCTCTCGCTTCTGGTAGGTGGCAGAAAGGTTTGCGGATGGAAGCAGCTAATCCCTCAGCATGATGGGAGCAGGCGGCTACAAAGGTTAAATGTTGCTCATTAAACAAAGGGAGAGAGCCATAAGTGATCTAGAACTATACTAGCCTTGAGCCAAAATTTGTATTTTTCATGTATTATGCTTTTTTCCTGGGGTGAGGGCAGGCCTCAAACTCCCTGTGTACATGTGACCCCTCTGCCTCCACTTCCCGGGTGGGTACCCCTATGCCCAGCTTATGGGGTGATGGAGATCAAACCTAGTGTTTTGTGTGAGCTAAGCAAGGACTCAACCAATTGAGCCACACCCCCAGCACTATAAGCCATATTTTGTTTGGTCTAAGGATTTATTTATTTTTGTGCTACTGGTATTGAACCAAGGACCCAAGAGCCAGGCAAATGCTCTACCACTGAGCTCTGCCTCAGCCACGTCTGAGGATCTGTGACTCCGGGAACTCTGGAAGGTCAGGCATGCATGATGGAGTGCACCACTCAGTAACTTAAGCAAAAAACCAGCAGCAGTTTCAATAAGACCAAAAAGTAAGGAAAAAACCCTGTAAAGTTGTTTATAATAACAGAGCGTCATTAGTGATGCTTAGGCACGGTTACTATTTTCTCTGGGTCAGTATTCAACATAGGAAATACCAAGCTTTTGGGTATGGAATACACGAGGCAAATTGCTGTGGGATGGTCTGTATGGCAAATGTGTTGCTGATTGGTCAATAAATAAAACACTGATTGGCCATTGGCTAGGCAGGAAGTATAGGCAGGACAAGGAGGAGAATAAAGCTGGGAAGTAGAAGGCTGAGTCAGAGAGACACCGCCAGCCGCCACGATGAGAAACAGCATGTGAAGATGCCGGTAAGCCACGAGCCATGTGGCAAGGTATAGATTAATGGAAATGGATTAATTTAAGCTGTAAGAACAGTTAGCAAGAAGCCTGCCACGGCCATTCAGTTTGTAACCAGTATAAGTCTCTGTGTTTACTTGGTCGGGTCTGAATGGCTATGGGACTGGCAGGTGAGAGAGATTTATCCTGACTGTGGGCAAGGCAGGAAAACTCCAGCTACAGCAAATACTAACTTTTTTCCATGCAGACAAAGTGATTTTAAATGATTTTCTTTACCTCAGTACCCCTGAGACTGGAGCTAGCCTTGTCAGTAAGTAGTCAATTCTGTCCCATAGCTTCCATGAGAGCTAACATAATTAACTTTATTTAAAAGTTAGTGCTGGGGGCTGGAGAGATGGCTCAGAGGTTAAGAGCACTGGCTGCTCTTCCAGAGGTCCTAAGTTCAATTCCCAGCAACCACATGGTGACTCACAACCTTCTGTAAAGAGCTCTGGTGCCCTCTTCTGGCATACAGGCCTACATGCAGACAGAACATTGTATACATAATAAAAAAATAAATCTTAAAAAAGAGAAAAAAAAAGTTAGTGCAGGTGCCCATGGAGCCTAGAAGAGTGTATGAGGTCCTCTGGAGCTGGAGTTACAGGTGGCTATGAGCGGCTGCCGGATGTGGATGCCAGGAACTGAACCAGGTCCCCCTAGACTCTCAGCTGCTGAGACATCCTTCTGGTCTCCTAACTTCCTCTTGAAAAGGACCAACGTTTGCTCAGTCGTTGCACATCACGTTCAAAGTATGACTTTTACACACCAGGAAAGAAAAACAGCTGTGTACTGAGAGTTGGTAGTGCCCCAACCCATACCAAAATATGTGTGTGTGTGTGTGTGTGTGTGTGTGTGTGTGTGTGTGTATGTGTGTGTGTGTGTGTGATTCACGAGGAGCCCCTGAAAGGCTTCAGAACACCTCACTTTAACTAGCAGAGAACCAGCTGTGTTATCTGCTGCAAGGCACACATGATTTTGTCATGAGTAACAGAATACTTATTTTGGTGTATGCATTTTGTACATAATGAAATGACAATTAGAAGGGACATCATATTTTGCTTTCTTTCTTTTTTTTTTGAATTCAAAGCATAGAGTTAGTTGAGCCCCTCTACTTCATGGAAAGGTGAGAGCAATACCATCTGTGTGCGTGACAGGATCTGGCTTGCCGTGAGGGCAGCTTCTTCCTCTGAGGACTCGTCCGTGTCCTCCTGGTTCGTAAGCGTCAAGCTGGGAGTGCTGCTAGAACACGGGTACTCCTGGAGGGATGGTGTATCTCCTTTGTCAATACTGTCCAGCGAGCGCCGGCGGACTCCCCAGTTGAAATTGTCCATGCTCTCCCCCTGGAAACAAGCAAGACATGATTTCTGAGGACTCAGCTACACGCTTCTGAATGCTGAAGTTATGACACCCGGAAACACACACCAAGGTGAAAAACTACTGAATGCATCATCAAGAGCAGAGTTTCAATCAACCTGTCTGTTTCTTTCAATGTTTAACCCATCATCAAATATTTATATTTTCAGAGATTAAAAATTATTTGGTCATTTTTACAAAACCGCTTTCTTGATAATTCATCTTGTACTGCTGAGGGAGCGGCTAGATCTACATTCTAGGTGATTTCTACTCTAATCCACAGACACGCATGAGACCACACGGAGGACAGGTACACCACAGGGGACTATAAAGACACAGTCCACACAACACCAGGCTGCAACTTACCTGCAGCTCCTGGTTAGCAAAAAGGGAAACACACAGAGTTAGAGAGAACGAAGACACACATTCAAATATATGCTACGCTTTTGGGGGCAAACGCTGACTTCTCAAACCCAAAGATGACGCAAGCTCTGGGTTTAGCTTTTTTGCGGGAAGCTGACATAGGATCGGAACTGGGGAAGAGCTGGAGACAGACACGTAGAACGATGCTTCCGTGATACACTTTGGCAACATGAAATTTACAAAAGTTTCCAAAATTTACACGGCTAATACTTGGTACGAGGCGATAACTGACTCCAGGTACCCACATTCAACTGACGACAATACAAGGTGACAGCTGTTGGCATCTGCGGGACAGCTGCAGTTAAATGCAGTGGTCACTTTTCACAATAATTTAAAATCAGGATCGTAGCTATCAAAACACACAACTGTTGCCAACTTCCACGAAGGTCACAAGAGAGACACAGGCAGCGTCACTCCAGTTGGGATTTATGCTAGGTCCGCGTTGAGCCTCTACTTCTGGAGAACATAATTCTTAACTGTCTAAAGCCCTGCTGTGACAAATTATACTAAACTGGCACAAAAAAAAAATTTAATTTATAGCTCTTCACATGGAAGGGAGTATCTGAAATAGAGGTTTTCAAAAAACAATTCCCATCTCCAACCGCCCCCCCCCCCCAACAGAGGAACTCTTTCAAATGGAATTTTCGATGGAAATCAACTGTGGGAAAACTGACAGGTTAAACCCAAACTGTTGATGCTGGGCAGGAGCTCTGCCCACTGCGCCCTCAGACCCGACCTGGCTGTTTCACAAGGAATTTTAGATGCTTTGGGTTCTGCGAGGTTAGGGTTTGAAAAGTACCTTTCTTGAACTTACACTGTAAATCTGACCATGTTGCAGAGCACATTAATGGCACCCGGCCTCACAATGTACTTGGTGAATGAATGAATGAATGAATGAATGAATGAATTTATATTGCGGGCTTTCAAAGCTGGGGAATCTTTTAGGAGTTTTATTTGTTTTGTTTTAGCCATCCAATCCAAGTATTTCCTACTGTCATGTTTCAACCGTGACTGTACATAAAAGTATGTTCCCTTGGCTTGCTTCATTATGGGGTTCGGGTCAGCCCTCTCCACTTCCCCTAGATTGCTGTGACCTGAAGTAAGTGTCTTCCGAGAGCTCTGACGGAAGCCCTGCTAAGAGCGAGAGTCACTCCTGCTGACATTTCCGAGGGCTGGATGAACACTAAGCCATTTCCAGAGCTCTTTACAGGAAAAAAAGGGCAAACAACAACAAAATAATAATAACCGTAACCGTTAGAAAAATGTCTAGAGCCTTTAGAAATCTGAATTCTGAACAAGAAAAAGAAGTAACTGCAGAGGATTTAGGAGCAGCGCACAAATGTAGGATGGGGTACCGGGGCTCAAGCTATCTCATTTTGCTCCCGGCTGTGACAGGCCGCCTTACCCTTCCTTCAATATGTTTTTCAAAGGATGAATGTGAAAACACTTTTAATAGGTTTTTAAAAATCTGCCCCTTTTGAAAAAAATAAAATATATATATATATATATATATATATATATATATATATGTATGTATGTATAGGATAAGAAAGCACAGGTTTAAAATGTTCATTTTAAAGGTGGCTTAAGTCTATTGGCATTTGTGCGACTCCCAGGTACCCAGCTCATCTCTGTAGCTTCAGGACCTGCTGCAGCACAGTAAGGGAACCATCGCCCTACACTGTCTCCTGTCGACAGTGCAGTCAGAGAGAACCGCCCCTCGTGAGAGCTGATGGACGCACACAAGCTACCTGAGTTGATGCTTCAGAAAAAGGAACATGCCAACCTGGTACAGAATATTTGATAATGAAGCATGTTTGTAAAGACAGAATGGACTCTTCTACTTCAGGTTCCTTCTGCTACTGACTAATTGTGGCACTCAGAGTTCCACATTTAGCTGACCTTTCTTGATTTTATAGTCATCTCCATAACGGAAGATGGCACGGTCGGCGTCTGGCTCAAGCATGACTCTGTGTAAATGTCAAGAAAGCCCACGCTCTCACCTCTGCATCTTCCAACTCAACATCCAGGAAGTCGAAGTCCTTAAAGACACCGAACTGTTGCTCACTGCTGTTGTCTTCAACGGCAACTTCTTCTTCCTGGATTATGTCCTCTGTGGTGGAAATCAAGCTGGTCTGCTGGTCCCCGCCTTCCAAATCCTCGTTAGAAGAAAACACAACCTGATGCCCCAGAAAAGAAAAAAAAAAAAAGGTTTGTGCATAATTTTTGACCCTCTGCACCTGAGGTACCAGCCCCTGAAGATCCCTGTTAGCTTCACTCTTCAATCAATGTGGAATTTCAGTTTAGTCTTTATATCTAACTAGTTCAGCACCTGATCGGCACAGCTGCCAGATTTTGCAACAGACAAGACCATCTCCTTTTCATTCCTGGTGAATACCAGGACTTACTTAGCAAAGGCAAGTCCCAAGACACACTGGCTTTGGTGCCCTTTATCTGCGTGCTCCTGAGTACTCACAGAGGGATTCTTCGGGAGGCCGGATTCGGGGCCACAGAGGGATAGCACGCTCATCAGCTTCTCTCTTGTTCTCCGCTAACAGGAAGGAAATTCCAGCGTTAGTATGGGTAAACTGAGTCACCAAATTGATTCTCCCATCCCATGTGGATGCTCTCTATGCACCTGTGATAACTGTGGCCTTTTCCAACTGACGGGAACCAGGGCATTGGAAGTGGAGCCAGAGGAGGTGGAAGAGGTGCTCCTGGTGACGGCAATCACCTTTGCTTTCCCGTTCCTTCCCGCAGCGCTGTGCTGGCCTCCATACTTGTTTCCAATGATGGGCGTCTACACAGAAACAAACGCCAAAGCTGACTCAACGCTTCCACACCAAAGACACCAGCAAGGGTTAACAGTAGGTCCAGTATGACATTTTCTACAAATAACCAAGAAAGCAGGCTTGCCATGAGGAGCAAGCCAGTAAGCAGCATTCCTCCACGGCCTCTGCATCAGCAGCTCCTGCCTCCAGGTCGTGGCCCTGCCTTCCCTGGATGATGGACTACAAGTTTTAAGATGAAATAAACCGTCTCCTCCCCAAGTTGATGGTGGTCATGGTATTTTATGACAGCAATAGAAACCCTAACCAAGGCACCCCCAAACTGTCCTATCTGCTTCCCTGGGGCTACTTATTTTTCAACACTCAGCTTAGATGTTACCTCCTTTCTTAAGCACACCTTTAGGAGCACACTGTATACTCCCAGAGAACTTCTACCTTACTTCCCGTCAGGCAGCATCATGATGCTCATCTGCCTGCTTCCTCAAGGCGATGTAAGCTTCATCAGAGTCCGCCTTCTCCCCATTTTTCAAAGAGTTTCACAACACCTATTACAGCGCCTAGTACCAACCAAGTACAAGTTCCACTAACTGAGGCTTAAGTGAGTCAAAGAACAGATGAGCACTCCTAAGGGTACCATGTCGATTGTGGGCTATCTCACCTCAGAGATGTCAAAGTGAAAGTCCAAGGTCTTGCCAGGCAACTCCTTTGAGACGTTATTGAAGATTTTAGCGAAGGATATTTCAGGAGAACCTACATCCACTCCATAGGCCTTGGGGATGTCATTGGGTACAACAAGGCTTGCAGAGCGGGACACCACCAGCTTTAGGATGTTGAGGGCCTCTTTCCAGTAAGGACTCTGGATTCAGAAAGAACCAATACCAGAGTTACGAGTGTGCATGCACAAGAACAAAGGCCCAGTCTATACCGTAGACGGTGGAAACAGTACTGCTATAAGATGTCTATAAAATGGTCCATCGTCCTTTGAGATCTTTTAACACAAGGTCTGAGTTACAAAACATAGGAAAAATCTGAGTTATTATTGGTAGTGTTAGATGATCACACACACAGATACTCCCTAACGGAGGACCTTGTTTTTTTTTTTTTTTTCCAGGGAGTACCTTGGAAATCATTAATCTGGAAAGTCTTACGGAGGGACCTGGCTGCTGTTAAAGGAGGAGTCACACACATTTGAACATTCCAGGTGAAGCTTGGGGCTTCAGAGCTAAACTTAAACTGACAATAATAATTTTAAATTCATATATTTTAGACATATTAACATATGAAATAAAATATGTTTTGACCTCTTTAAAATTTGTCTTATTATTTTATTTCACGTGGATGGGTACTTTGCCTGTATGTGCCTGTATACCACATTTGTGCAGTGTTCAGAGAGGCCAGAAGAGGATGCTGGATCCCCTGGAACTGGAGTTACAGATTGTTGGGGTGCCATGTGGGTGCTGGGAACCAAACTTGGGTCCTAAGCAAAAGCAACGAGTGCCCTTAACTGCTGAGCTGTCTCTCAGGCCCTGGACTTGTTTCTTGACTACCTGAGCCCCAAATATGGGGTGACACTCTCAGGAATGGCCAAGTTTCAGAGGATGTTTTTCCTCACCACAGTGCCTATGCTTTTCAGTTACATTTCACTTTTGTCTTAGTTTTATATAGTCCTACAACATAATTTAGGAGGGATTAATACGATAGACGTATACGTGCAGAAGAACTGATGTCTAGGAAAGAACTTGGAATCATTTTTTCTTTTTCTTTTAATGTGTATGGGTGATTTTTGCCTACACAAATGGCTCTGTAATTCATGTGTGCAGTGCCTGAGGAGGCCAGAGGGAGGCATCAGATCCCCTAACTGGAGCCATAGCTGGTTGTGAGCTACCAAGTAGGTGCTGGGAATCAAACCTGGGTCCTCTGGAGGAGCAATCAGGGCTCAAAAACATTGATCTCCCCATCCCCTCATAATCATTAAAAAAAAAAATTACTAAAAAGAATACACAGAAAAAGCTTCTTAAAAAAGACTTCTGCCACTGAACCACACCCCTAATGACTCAACAAGGTTTTCATACAATTTAATTCCAGATGGGAGCAGACTACAAACTCAGAATTTTCCCTTTCAAAATTCTGCTGCAGTAAAGGCATGTGTCTGTGGAGTATAAACTAAAAATACTTGTCAGTTCTCACATAATTTGTTCTCTGGATACTTTATTTTTATTACTATTACTCTTTAATTATGCAGTATATGTGTGTCTGTGCTTGGGACTAAACTTAGGCCCTATGCAAGAGCAGCACATACTTTGTGCCACCTCTCCAGCCCCGCTCTTGATATCTTATATAAGAGCGCCTTTCTTTCACAAACAGTTTAAAGGTGAAATGCAAAACATACCAGTTTTCTGGTTATCATTCACATTTACACAACGTTTGGATTTCTACTTTCTAAATATCAGTTACTTCCTGACCTACAAAAACCAACTCTTGAGTATTGACTTTTAAAGTAGCCTCCTGTTTCTAAAAGGTTTTATCTAATACAGAATACCTGGCTAACACAGAGAGTCATACATAGGACAAAATAAGTCCCAGCCCTACATTTCCAGAGATGGTAACTGCCGCCCTTCACATCCACACACGCTCTCTAGCTGCTACGGGAATGCGACTGTTGAATCTGACGAAGGCACCACACCAATGCAACCGACCCGATGGTGCTTCTGTGTCACTGAGAATGTTTTCCAGGTAGTAAATAGACCTGGAAACATCCCTACCCTTGAGTATCTAGGTTTTACACTCATGGATTATTTCAAGTTGGCCGACGCTGTATGTGAATTTGGTGGTCACTCACCTGTACATATTTACCAATAATCTTTATGATCTCCAGGTTAAACTGCTTGGCCGGGGCAGCAGACAGGTCGACGTGACTCAGCAGACTATAGATAATCTGTAGCAATGACTGCTGCATACTGGACAGTCCTTTTTCTAACAGCTGGACATAAGATAGAAATGTAGACTTTTATCAGGCTGAACAAAAACTTGGCGTCACCCTTACAAAGTTGAGAAACATAACAGGTTTGTTCAGATGGTCAGAAACCAGGAAACCGGCACAGTAAAAGGCAATATATATTATTTTTCTTTCTGTCGGGAAGGATAACTAGTTCTCATTTCAATAACAGTCTTCAATAATAAAAACAAATCTATTTATTTTAGGTTAAGGAAAAAATGACTACACTACTATCACCGAAGAATGATGAACTACTATTCATAAACCACATAGCTACATAGGAGCTACCTGATCTTGCACAAGATGTTATCCTATAAGCTGAAATGAGTAACTGCCATCTGGACCCTCAATGGCTGGTTCACACATCTCTGACCATAAGTATGAACATGGTCAGAAAAGAACATGTATTTTAATTAAAAAAAAAAAGAAAGATTTTATTCTTTCTTGAGTTTTGTTCCTTCCTTCCTTCCTCTTCCCTTCTTCTTCCTCTTCCTCATTCCTTCCTCTTCCCCTTCCCTTTTTCTTCCCCTTCCCCCCTACCCCCCTCCTTCCTTCCTGGAATTCACTGTGTAGCCCAGGCTGGCCCCAAAACCTCTGGCTCCAGCTTCTTGATTGCTGTGATTACAGGTATGAGCAGAGCTTCCAAGAAATAATTTTGTACCTATTCTCCAGGATCAACACCACCCAAATATACTTTCCATTTTCTGTAAAGGGGAGGTTTACATTAATTACTGTGCTGCTGGTTTTTCAGTCAACTCGGCACACACAGGTTAGAGTAATCTGGGAAAAAAGAACATCCGTAGAGAAAATGCCTTCACCGCATTGGTCTGCAGGCAAGCCTGTGGGACTTTCTTTTTTAAGAGATTGATCTGAGAGGCCCCAGCCCACTGTGGGTGGCAACACCCTTTTAGGTAGATGGTTCTGGGGTACACAAGAAAGCAGGCTGAGCAAGCCAGTAAGCAGTACCCCTCTATGGTCTCTATACTAGCTCCTTCCCCGGATTCCTGCCCTGTTTGAGCTCCTGCCCTGACCCCCTCAGTGATGGACTGTGATGTGGAACTGTGAGCAAAATAAACCCTTTCCTAAGTCGCTTTTGGTCTTGGTGTCTTATCACAGCAATAGAAATCCCAACTAAGATAAGACATTTGCTTTCACGTCAACTAAGGCAATGATTAAGAAACTACATAGTAGAAACGGGAGAAAAACATCCAACCAAAAAACCCTTTTGTACTTGAAAGGAATCATCTGTATCTCTCTATTCGCTCTCTCTTCTCTGACATTCTTTCTTCTCCGATGCTCCCTCTTCTCTATACTCTCTCTCTTCTCTCCACTCACTTTCAACTCAAAGACTACTTAGGACCACAGGGCTGTTTCTGTAAACAGCCACTTGACAATGCCACCCCTGAGCAGTTCAAAGCCACCGAAACTCACCTCTGCCAGGTAAGTCACAAGACCGAAGGTCGCATCTGAGAAGGAGTCGTGCAGGTACCGGCACACCACATTGATCCAGTTGGAACAGTCTCTGGAATAGGTGTGTGTGCTGTACAAACTCATCATGTGAGCCAGGTTCACCAGCGTCGGGCACTTCTCTTCCGCACAGACCTACAGAACACACACGCTTATTTCATTTGCCTAAAACTGAAACCTGTTTGAGGCTACATACATTTATTTCAAGAAATAAATTTGAGACGCATATTCAAGTTTCAATGCATTTCAATTCAAAGAGCTAGAAAAGTTCAATGGAAAAGACAAAAAACAAGGCACCGTTAAGAGAACTGCAGTAGAGCAGTGGTTCTCGGCCTCTTTGGCCAAACTCCATCTCTAAAACTATTTACATTACGATTCATAACAGTGGCAAACGTAGAGTTATGAAGTAGCAATGAAGATAATTTTATAGCTGGGGGGGTCACAGCAACAGGAGCTGTATTAAAGGGTCACAGCAGTAGGAAGGTTGAGAAGCACTGCAGGAGAGGAATGGAAGAAGGAGTGACGTGTCCAACCCTCGTCTGAGTTTTACACAGGATGGTGTTTTCAGTCTATAATACTGTCTCTGGTAAGTGGCCATCTGTGCTTTTATAAGCCCTACCTATGACTTTGTAACCATTTTGACAAACCCCAAAGCACTCTAGTGCCTGACAGCCTAAACGGGCAGGCTCTACTTAAGATTCTCAGGCCAGTTCAGGGCCACTGTGTCTCATAGTTGTATTCAGGGTATCTCACAGAAGAGCTACTGCAGACAGCCAGCCCCAACCTGTGTGATAGTCACAGGACCTCATTGGAGCTGTTATCTCCACTGGTAGCAATTACTGCAGACAGCCCCAACCTGTGTGACAGTCACAGGACCTCATTGGAGCTATGTTATCTCCACTGTAGCAATTCGTACACCAGACCTCACACTGCTATTCAGGAAATGATGTAAGTGCTGAGTTCCTTGGCCACTCCTTGTGAAGCCAACCTATACCATGTCTGTCTTCCAGAAGCTGCTTGGCATAGAGCTACGGCACGGGACTCAGCAAATCTTTGGGGACCTTATTGGCTGAATTTGTGTTCTTAGTTCCTTTATTCCCTGGGTTATTGGTGAAGATATCTCTTAGCCTCCTCTGGGAAATACCAGAACAATCTAGAACTGGAACACGGGCCCTTGCTGTTCCGCAAATCTAGTATATATGTATCCAAACAGACTGTCCTAGTCATTAATGTCTACTTTCAGTTTCTTTTCACTTTTCTTGCTTGTTTTTCCACTTTACTAACACTTTGTACACATTTCCACAACTACCGAGAGCATTTAGGTAAGAGAAAATTGCCCCTGAAATATACATATATGTTTAACCATTTCTTTCAATAATTTTGATAATTTGGAGGATGTCTGACAGAGTCGGAGGGCCTCAAGTCCATTTCTCAGCCATTGTCCCTGCATGGGCTAGAGATCCAAAGGGTTGTATGACTGCAGAAAACACTGACGTAACAGCATGGAAATTACTTTGTAAATTCATTGAAAGCAGCTGATCTCATCCATCATCCATAAAACTGACAGGAAGATAAAGAGGGGGGTTTGGTTGATATTTATTTCTATTTTAACATGAACGATTTAAGAAGTCATGTAATCTTATAATTTCACAGTAACTATTTAAATCTTTGCTAGAAAACTTTTTTGAATAACAATAAACTCTTTTTGAGCCTTGCTCTGTAGCTCAGGCCAGACTTGAGTTTATGAATCTTTTCACTCAGCGTTCTGACTGCTGGGATCACAGGTGTGTGCCATCACCTCTGGCTGTTACAAAAGAGTATTTCTTTTTCTTACCAATAATTTTTTAGACACTTATCTTTGGAAAGGGAGAAAATTCCTGTGCAATATTATAAAAAAGAAAATGACCTAAGATTTCATTTTGACATTTTGAAGCACCAGGTTGGGATACAATCTGAGGGGCCAAAAAGAAATGTTCTGTAACAAACTTTTTAGGTATGACTTCTGCCAGAACAAAGGCGTGTTGCCTGGCCCTGAAATGCCAAGCTCCCCATGGGCACAAACAGAGATCTGGTGATATTTGCATAATGAGGAAGCACATAATGGCAGAGAATTACTCTCAACAGTTACAAGCGAGAGGATAAATTAAGAAAATCAATTTAACGCACATCCTGCAGATTGCTAAAAGCATACACAGAGGGAGCCGTCCTGTGCTGCTCCACAGGAGAAAGCACACTTGAAAACAATTTAGCAATCACAGAAGGCCTGATTTGGATTCTTAGGAGCAAAAAAATTATGTGGGGACTTCCTGTGACCTGATGAGGTCAGGGCATCCGCAGCTTTATCCTCAGGGCCTATGACATCCTTAGGCTAGGTTAGGCTTCTCAGTGAATCCAGCATGCATACACTCTGGCTACAGCTCTTAAATGCTTCTACTTCCCTATTCATGCTTTTATTTCCTTCAAAATTTCAATTAAGCCTATATCTATATCTATATCTATATATTTCCCTTCATGCTTTCTTTCTAACCCCTCAATTGGGGGGTGAGGTGGGGGAGAGGAAACCTTGTTTATATTTTTCTGATGATGCACCATTGGAATATTAAAATAAAATCTATTTTTGTTTTTGTTTTTCTGAGACAGAGTTTCTCTGTGTAGCTTTGCACCTTTCCTGGAACTCAATCTGTAGCCCGGGCTGGCCTTGAACTCACAGAGATTCACCTGGCTCTGCCTCCCGAGTGCTGGGATTAAAGGCGTGCGCCACCAACCGCCAGCAATAAAATCTATTTTTAACAAATTTTATATTACCCTAAACCCTTATTTGTGAAAACATTATGTATAAAGTTGGTTTATTTTAGGAAAGTATTTTCTAGAAGTATTTCATTTCAAACAATCAGTTTTCCATTAAGCTTACTTGAATTTTTGAGTCTTTTTTTTTTATAATCAGGTATGTTTTCCTTTCAATTGCATTCCATTTATTTATGTATTTAATGTATGTGTGGACATATGTGTGGGCGTAGACAGAGGACAGCTTGCAGGACCTGGTTCTACCTACCACGCAGGACCTGGAAATCAAACTCAGGTCATAAGGATTGGAGGCCCTGACCTACTGAGTCATCTTACCAGGTCGGCTTTTTGTTTGGTTTTGTTTTGTTTTTTTAATTTTTTATTTTGAGACAGGGGTTCACTCTGTAGCCCAGGCTGGCTTGGAACTTACCATGTAACCCAGCTGGTCTCAAACTCACGACAAAATTCCTCAGTCACCAGTGTACTGAGACCGTAGACAGGAGCCACCATGCCTAACCTACCAGTTTTAAGAAACCAAGATACGTTTCCATTAACTGTTACAAGCTATGTTATCTACAATTGGCTATTTAAGAATCTCTTCACACTTAATAAGTTATAACAAATTTAGAAATTCAATGCCATATTTTATTAATATAACTTTTATCCTTTTTTTTTTTAAAGGCAGGGTCTTACTGTGCCCCGTGGCTATCCTACCATTTCCTAGGAAGACCAGGGTGCTCTCGCACTTGTGGTGACCCTTTCTCCACAGCCCCGTGCCACCATGTTCGGCTCTAATTATTTTCTTGCCCTTTATATTATCTGGCAAAGTAATGCAAGAGCTCTGATGTTCGTGACCGTGAACGTGATGTGTCGCAGGCTAGCACTGACCACGGGAAGGTCCCCTTCACTGGGCCTCGTGCGCTCGCCTCTTCCCCGTGCTGTGCTCTTGTTAACTGAACGGAGGAGGGGCCTG